ATAGTTATAATATTATTGAATATATTATTGAATTATTGTCATTGCTATTGTCAATTATTCATTCCATGTGCATGATTTCTTGTATTTTGATGTTTAGTGATGTTTTTGTTTTGATTTTGTATATACTCTCCATGTTTGGATTCAATTTTGAATAAACTATTAAAAAATGAGTTCATGCATCTAACAGCATTATTTCGTGTTTTTGTTTTTAATTTTAGGTGAGCAAAGGTGCTGAATGCGTTATACTAAACAAACAATTCTTCATGGAAAATTTGCCAAAGGAGCAACAGAAGGAGTTAAAGTCATCGATAAAACCTTACCCGGTTCTTGATGTTATTCAAAATAGTGTCCGAGATCATCTTAATTGGAAAATCTTTAAAGAGAAAACAATCCTCGATATAATGGCGACAAAAAAACACTGAATGTAGACCTACATAAAGTTCCTATCAATTATCAATAGGTGACGCAATTTTATAAGTACTGTCTTTATTATTTATTCTCATTAATTATTTATATCATTATCATTACCATCATCATCATCATCATCATCATCATCATCATCATCAGTGTTAAAATCATCATTATCATTATCTTCAACATAAACTTTTAATTTTTTCCATATTGGGTCTTTAATGTATATTACATATTTTATATTGTTTACCAATGTAACTGGGCCATTTGAGAAAACTACTGAATTATATCCAGTAAATGACTACTATAAATAAAGAATAGCAGAATCACAAACAGATTTAATAAAATATTGTCGTAAAAATGTATCACACCAGTCCATATCTTGGCTATATGAAGTTCGTTTAGTCTATGCTTGAAAACTACAAATTGAGACCTAATCCCACCCATATTGTAGACACCAGGGAAATTTCACAACTTTACGCAAACGATATAATAACGAATACGAATACGTCATCATTACCGGCATCCGTGCCTAAAGCATTCGCTATTATGCTGTACAAACTGAATGCAATCCTTGATTGATGCAAAGGACATCAATCGCGTACGTTGTGACAGGTATGAAACCGTAGGGGAAGGGTTTTGATGACGTAACCGTATTCCTTATTGTTTTCGTAAGCTTCCGAAAATTCCCTATTGTCCAGGTGAAGCCGTGATACTAGACTTTGAAAAAGTAATTGATAATCTGCATCAAGCTGCTTAAATGGTCAGATTATTGTCTACCTCCATTTCGGTTAAATCATAGAACCACATGGTTAAAAACTTTCAATAAAACGTGATCTGTTAATGACTTTACTATAAATAGTACGTGTTAAAACTCCGTTAATTGCCAAGGAACCTTTTTTTTTTCTTGTTCTAATGAATTTCAAATATATAAATTAAAGTATTGTTCTTGAATTTTCGTGCTTAAATTAGATTGTGGTTTAGCAGTATAGGCTATTTTTTTTACAATTGCAATGATATGATCTTCCATTTCTATATAGGCCTATATAGTGCATATTAATAGTCTTTATATACAGTGGAGCTATACGGTAGGGCGTCTGGAGCAGCAAGACAACCCTGTACAAATTGAGCAAAAATTAATCTTCGAGCCTTTTAACCTCCTCTTCTTCTCCATCAGCCCCCCCCCCGTGTTAGTATTCCTAGACACGCCTCTGTCATACATGCTTTAAACAGAGAGATTTAAATAATACCATGATCTACCGGAGGAAGAGTGATTAGGTAAGTTTACAGGAACAAAATCTGGCAAGCATTTTGGCAGTCGTTCTTATGAACCAACTTTACATAACCACATTCATTTGTATATATTGTCAGTTGTTGTTTTGTAACTGTTGTAGGCCTACAGGTCGAACCTCTCCTGCGCGAGAGTATTCCTCTGTTATAAAAGAGAGAACCAATAAATTTTATCTTATCTTATCTTATCTCACATCAATGTAGAACACAACTACCTTACCGCTACTAGCAAAACAAAATTCAGTGGCAGTGGTTTTGTGTTCAGGCCTACTATAATCATCTACATGAAAATAATCATTGTGATGATATCATGAAGAATGCGATCACGATATTTAATTAATTAATTAATTATAACTATCTTTCCGATACAATTTATCGGTAAATACCTTGGCGTTGCCAAGCAAGTATGAAATTCGGGCTGGGAAATTGTGGACTTGAGACAGTTTTACTACAGCGCCACCCCTGGTAAAAATGATGAAATTTAATTATGGTATAAAAGTCTAAACTACAGCAGCCCTTGTTTTAAATTACATTGTATTTTCATAACAAAATTAATATTGACTTGCTAATAAAGATTCAAATATTTTATCCTATTAATATACATAATATGCCAAAATCATTACAATCACAAGCAGAAAAAGGCCGTAATTTGCTACGCCAATAATTGTTACTTTAAGCTAGCTCAGGCATAGACCTAGTTTTGTCTCATATTTCATGATACATCATCGCAGTGTGTTTAATATTCGTCATGTTAATTATGCATCTCGATAAATCAGTAGTGCTTAAGTCGCAGCATGAATATTCTTCCATTATTAATGCAATATTTATTGATTGATCTTCACTTCCAAGTTCCCTGGAGTATCCTAGCGAGTAATAAATAAGGCAGAACATCAGGTTTGTTTCTATTTTGCTTTGTGAAATATAGTGCAATAATAGAGAGCTTTCTATTTGTGCGACGACGCGATGCTAGAACGGAATCACTCATGCGTGACCGTCCTATCAGTCGTCCTACGTACGTCTCTACTAGAGTTCCTGTATAGAGAAGTCTCTGCATATTTGATTTGACTAAATTGCGTTCCAGAATCTACTCGACGAAGCGACCTTAACGTTCTCGCATGCGCAGATAACTTTAAGTGACGTCATTACGTTCTACGCCCTACCGTCGTCGTGCAATCGAAAGCTCCCTAAATGCCAATAATGTAGACATGCGTAATGTTATGTAGTTGAATTAATATTTAGACTGAAACGGTCTCAAAGCGCTCGAGGTGTGGACTAGCTCTCGCGCAGTAACTTGCTTCCCCCCTAAGGGTCTCTCCGTGTCTGATCTTTGTGTCCGATCAAGCTACTCTCGTCTGTCCACAACAGGTGCTGTATGAACCAGTACACCGGGGTAACCCCTACTCGTCTAAAAATGTAGGTCTACTGTGTTCTTTAAAATGCATATGATCCAAATTGTGTACACTGGGCCTATACTACGGTTTTTATACAGTATGTATTTTTCCAATGCAGTATATAAGCTAGTGTTTAATAAAAGTATAAATGTAATAGTTAATGGATAATGGTTTCAATTTATAGAGCGCAAAATACAAAGAGTCTCAAGCGCTATCAAAAGGCAAGTGTAAAGATGGAATGGAAACCAAAACCACAAAGTAATAAATGAAGTGAAATTTAAAATCCATGCCAGCACCCAAACCAAAGTATGGGGATACGACCTCGTCGCTAACTAGCTAGGGTTCAATCAATTGAACTGATAGTCAGCACCTGTTGAGTCTCCGCCATCCCGGATTCGGGCGCCTCTATCCTAGTTAAAGCTATAGAAAAACTAGAAATGGAAAGAAAAAATAGATTAAAGGGACATGAATAAATGGGTCTCCAGTCGTTCTTTAAAAATTGTGACAGAAGGTGACTCACGAATAGATTTAGGTAACAAGTTCCATAACATTGGTGTAGCAACCATAAACGATCGCTCCCCACAAGACTTTAACCGAAAGGGTAGACAATACAGAATGTAGGCCTATATTAACATAACCTTCAAATTATCAATAAAATTTATATTGCACAATCAACTCCGTCATCATGCTTTTTAAGTTCAGGTACTTCAATACATAACAGCTGTTAATATATTCCATGAGTGGTTTCGGACTGTAGACTGCCTTTTCGCCGTTGGCCTTCCTGAATATCTTTATCAGCGTAGCCTGTTACTGTATTCCGTCTGTGTAGCCGTTATATAATGGTTCATATAAAAATAGTTCAGGCACTTCCAATATTAGACGTTGTACCCTCTGACGACTTTGCATTCGCGGTGCTCGGTCCAAGACGAGATTTCCGAAAACCAACTCTCTGCAACGTTGACGTCATGGTTTGCGTTAGTGATATTGTGGAATCGTTTGTAATTTGGTCACAGTCCACGCCACCGACGACACTGTCCTGCTCGCGAACGACACTATTCTCGATGATTTGACTGAGACGAATCGCCTCGTTCAATTGATGTTGGCTTCTGGCGGCACGACCAACGACGGAGCCGTCTTGAACGGCGGATATGCGACCAAACCTACGTAGAATTTCAGACCGTACCTGAAAAAAGAGAGAAAAACAATAATATGCAGTAGAAATTTAACCATTAAATGTTATGTACTATCCTCGAATGTTTGTATACACGATATATTAACCCTTGACATAGGCCTATGCGCAATTGAAACTATCACAGGGTTTTGAACTTCAAGATAGAGTTCAGTATTCGTGTGCTAGCAAAGAAAATATTTTAATTCCACATTTTATTATAATGGTTGTTGCATCTTAAAATTTTTATTCTGGTAATTGGCTTGTAATGTTGCGCGAAGAACATCGTGATTTTAATAGTAATATGCGTGTAGCCCGAGATTTACTGAATCGCACAGCTAGGCCTATCGTTGAGACACGTTGAAAATTGTTGTTTTAAATAAATGTTATAGACCAACTGCAGCCTACAATATTTCTTACCTCCGGATTGTACACTCCATAGAAGAGAAGCACAGAGGACCCCTACAAGATTTAATAAAATATATAAATATTCCTCATACAGATTCAGTTTAAAACGACATTGTACAATAGGCCTAGGCCTATATAAAAAGCAAAGCAATTATATACCGAAGCATAGGCCTATATGAAGCTGATTATATCTTTTATTATAGATTTCCTTTGTATATTGAAGTAAGATGATCGCACCAATCGTTATTGAGTGGCACCAATTTAAATGTGTATGTTCAAATAAATAATATACAAACAATTGTATCTTTATGAAACAGTTATTATTGTCCATTACAGCTTTTGTGAATACTGACCAGGATAAGGACCGATATGGCCCACAGCCAGTAGTACACATTGGTCTGCTCGTCGATAGCTGAAGTCCATAATGACCATGAAATGAACATCAACGTTACAATTATCCCATTGGCAATTATGCTGCACCTAAAATACAAAACCAAAGTTTAAAAGTTAGTAAGACTAATGACGTTGTTTAGTTACCGATTTCAAGGAGAGATACCCACGAATCGCAGGAGGTTGGGACCCTACTAAAAGCAATAGTGCTTATCCATAAGTTCTGCTTATCATAATATCTACTGTTATTCAATATTGTATCCATCTGACGCCGAAGGTCCGTGACAGTGCTGGTGAATTGACTAGATTTGCGGTAAATTAAATTATTAATAATGTATTAGTACACTGTAGGCATATTATGTTAAAATCCCCCATCATCGGTCACTCTCACAGGAAATATAATGATGATAATGATATCTATCCATCATTATCGTTGTCCATGGTATATTTATTATTTATGACAAAGGCCTATACATTACTGTTATTACTTACTTGGTAGTTCTAATAACAGCGTATGCTTTGTTGTCGGACCGCCGGATGTAGTTGTACCCATAGATGAGGTACACTAAACAGATGTAGTTACACTTAGGAAAAGATGATAAACATGAATATTATAAAATTACATTTTTAAGATCAAATTGTATGCTCAGGCCGCGCCTAATGATGGTCAGGAAGGCCACTTTTGGTAACATTAATTAAGCTCTAAAGATTGAAGTCTTTAGCGTAATGAATCAAAATGTCAATCAAAACAATTGGCCAATCAGAACAGAGTCACGAGTACGCGCATCTTCACAGCCACAAACGTACCTTCACGCGGTCGTGGGACCTTAGTAACAATATCCAAGGGGTGGAGCTTAGTGGTTGGCCATTATCCAATGCAATTACATTGTATAGGACATTCTAAATCTAAGGTCAGCTTTAATAAGAACCATGGAGAAAATATATCTCTTCATTTAAAGCAATAACATAACACAATTCATATTTCTTTTTAAAATGTTTGTGTATTCGTGTTTGTCTATAGCACACATCATACAAGCTGATTGTTCGATTGTCCAATTTAGTTTAAAGTGAACTTACCACAACCACGCAGACGATTGGACCAAGAGAAGCATGTGATGTCTTTGAAACGGCACAGCTACAAAAGAAATTACGAGCTTAAACTAAGTATTTATTCTTCATGCAAAGTGATACAGGTACTAGGCATATCATTACCTATTCTTTAGTAAAAATACAGTAAATGATAATAATTTTAATGACAATAATAACTTGGGTATGTGATGTGCTGTTTATAATTTAATGCCAATGTGTAGGCCCTACTTGTTACATTGTCAATATTTTAAGAAAGCCTAATTTAAAAGATTTCAATAATTACTTATTAAATTTATACATAGTTTTTTTTAAATTCAATATAAATACCAGTAATAATAAATAATGTTTTTTAAACTTACTATTACCAAAGGACTGGAAGACACACATATCTTGTACTATTAAAGCAAGAAGGTGGCAATGGATTCGCCATTATACTTAGGAAGGTTAGTATGGATGACTGGTGAGTGGTTTTAAGTTGGACAAAGGTGAGAAAAAGGAGCGTTGGTAGACCAAAATACACATGGCAACTTTCGGTAAAGAGAGACGGGCATTCGGATGGAAAACTTGGGGAGAAGCGGCACAGAAGTCATCAGACAGGACGGGATGGCGGATGTGAATGCCCTGTGCGCCACTTGGCGCTAAAGGGATCTGTAAGCTGCAAGTAAAGTCTGGCTCCCTTAAAATCGCTACATCGTCGCTACAGTGTTTTCAATGCAATCGTTGTACTGTACTGCGTAGTAGTCCCCGACGCAATCGGGAAGTCTCTCCGATTCGACCGACCAATCAGCATCAAGCTCGGTTTCCATAGAATCGCTCACCTGATCGGCGACAGTCACCGACAGTTGTCGGGAAAGTTGAACTTAGTTCAACTTCGCCGATTGCGTTGCAGCCGAATCAGGGTTAATTGCTAACTGCCCTGACGCAATCGGGAATGCACCCCGATTCATTTTCAACGCAATCGGCAAAATTGAACCAAGTTCAACCTTCCCGAAACTGTCGGCGAATGTCGCCGACAGTGTCAGCGTTTCTATGGAAACCGAGCTTCATCTAACGCTGTCGGCGATAGAGTGTAGCGATTGTATGGAAACCCAGCTTTAGTAAACTTACTATTGACCGTTTTCGTAATCGCCTTGAACGAGTCCAACGGCGCTAGCGACAATAAAGGCAGGAGTTATCCATCCTAAGGCACAGTATTGCATTATACCGCCTGACTCCATTGTGACATAAGATATCTGAATCAAAAGCGTTGTCAAAGCGATTGAGACAATTTTTAATAAACTTACGTATATTCATAATATAATTGCGCATTTTTTAAATAAACGTTATTAATTTTTATTTTATATATTTATTAAAATATGCATTTAATTATTTATTTGCAAGGCATGTAGTTTTTGCTAGGACATCAGTTTTAGGCCAATAACTCAATTTCTCAATTATGAAACTATATGAAACAATATAAAAATATATGAAATAATTCATTTCATATTACTATAAAAGTATTGAGTATTATGGTAGGAATATTTCACAAATAAAAAAAAATTGTGTATCAGAAATTCAGTATAGTTCTATTATTGTTAATGTTTTAATTACAAGGCCTAATAATAATATTACTAATAATAATGCTATACTGTATAGGCCAATTTTACATTTATTATTTATATATATTCATGTTATTTAAAATACTGTTCATAGCATAATAATAATAATAAATTATAATTATTTATAATATTAATAATTGACTAACATAAGACTAACCTTCAGTGCTATTTGGACTGATTGACCAAATATCCAAAAGAAAATGGACAAATCAAAGAAATGAATAATCAACGCCATTGCCTTACATGTATGCTGAAAAAAAAAATTAAAAACGATAGAAATCAATAAGGTTATCTAAAAGTGTTCACATGATGTCTCAGCAGCCAAGGCCACGCGCCGGCACAGCCGATGGGCGACCGACCTCGCCAGACGCAGTTCTCGTCCCACGGAAGTTTGACGGCTCAACTGCGGACGCGTTAAAATAGCGACACATTTTCTTTAACAGATGACGATTCATACAAGGAATACATTCCTTTTTAATTGATTTACAAAACGTAAGAAATAAAAAATAGACCTATATGAGACACATACCCTACTAGAAAACTTACCCTGTTGCAGACTGCGAATGCTCCACTTACAATAAAGATCTGTTCAAAAAACAGCGTAACCAGGATACATAACACCAAAATTATTATATCTGAAAAGTACAGTCTGATCAGAAGAAAAACAAATATGAAAATTAAATAATCAAATGGTCTACAATATACTGAGAGTTGGAATATGTAAAAAATATCGTACCGAAAACCAAAATAACAAATAGGCCTACGGAATAGTACCTGTGAATTAGACACTATTTCGGCTGTTTATAGGGTTTTTATAGGGTTTTGTAGGATTCGTGGTTGAACGACGACAAACCACAATAAATTTACAGTATTAGTGTCATTAGACTTATACGTTTTTGAAGCGGTCTTTTAAAACATCGTCATTCCAAATTAATTCATTAATTCCTATTTAAGTTCTTTGTTGTTACTTATCATAACATGATATTGTATATAATCTTCCTGCGTATTCGACATGTTCAAAGTACATGCGCAATAAAAGATTTATGAATAATTAAGCATGCGCACTACGAAGTAGGTGAAGAGAGGCCTAACGTTTGCATTATGATTTTAAAATGTTGTATCAGACTTACCTGTTGACGTACACTAACACTATGAATACGAAGATAATTATGAGGATTGATATGGCGAGGGCGGTTTTTACCTGCCATGGCAATGAAGGCGGGATACAACCCTTCAGTAGAAAATAAGAACAATAACAAAAATCATGGATAAATATTAACATACTTATTTAACATGAATTATGTCATGCGTCTTCAAGCAATCAAATATATACACTTCTATCAAAGCGGTAGCCCTACAAGCCCTATTTTTAATATAAACATTCTGAGATCACCTTCCAGCAATCAGGGGCGGATCCAGCAGGGGCACAGGGGCACGTGACCCCCCTGTTTTGCCACTAAATTTTTAAAATTCCAATGCATATCAATGCTATGTGCTACTCACTTAACTATTCTGAACTGTTGCTCCCCATAACATAATTTATCCGCACGTTCTTAACGCTATGACGTAGCGTATGCACGCGTAACTAACACGCACGTGGGGGTAGACATGGATATCATGTAAATAGCAACATCTGATTGATTTTGGGTTATCTCTATTACAATCAGAAATATCACTTACCAAGACTGCGAACGTGCCATGGTGATTGAACAAACACGTAACTGTGGTTTCATTTTCAGACGTCTTATTAATGCCTTCTATACTCCATACACTACATTGGGTTTAGAATTGAAAAAAAAAATATCAGTTGTTGAAATATGATGATGTACTAAGTCTTATTGATAATAATAATTATTATTTTATTTTTAATCATATTTATATTAGGCCAACAATGTACGCTTTATTAAAGTAAATTGTTGGCTTTCAATAGAAAATTGAAACGATAATTTTGTAATAAAAATGTAAGTTTTACTGCAAAATTATCTTTAACGATTTGTGACGATCTGGTCACACTGGCAGTTGATAGCTTATGTTATCACTTTTGAGCAATTCATTGTTTTAGTTTGATATGGGCTGGTTAGATATTATTACATAATTTTAACATTACACACTGACCTGTCATTGGGTTTATTGATGACAAACCCGCATGTCCAATTCGGGGTATTCCGGTTACCATCTTCCACTTGGATTGGAATTGACAGTTCGTTAGATGTTGGTGACACAGAGTATGAAACCAGTTTGCTGATCACGTAATGGTGTGTTTTGAAAAGCCTGTATTACATAAGAAAAAGATACCGGTGCCAATCCGAGTTACATGTTTTCTCCAAAAAAAAAGGCTACCAAAAAAAAAAAAAAAAAAAAAAAAAAAAAAAAAAAAAAAAAAAAAAAAAAAAATAGGCCTAAAAATATAATGATGTAAAAATATAATAAATAATAATAAATAAAATGCTAAAAAAATATATTAAAAAAGTTAATTTTGAAATCAAAATTCGAAAATAAATAAATGTTTTTGCAATGGACTAGAGAGACTGAAGACAGACGCACTTTAAAAAGAAGTCCAATCGTCCTCTATTAGCAGAAGGATCTATAAAATCGCCCGAGTATTGAACTAAATAGGGTAACTCACCGTTTCGATGATGTTGTCAGTAGATTTTCGAAGGTTTTGTAGCTTATTAAAGTTTCCCCTTTGTATTCAGTTTCTAACAAACAATATATACAAAGAAAGAGTTAATTCGTATAATCAATGAATTCTTTATTTGGAGAATGGATTTGGGTTTATTCGGTGTAAACACCAGGATAGCCCACGAAAGTCTAAAGGCCAACTCAGACAGCGTCGTACGGCGCTGCCCAACGCGATTTGTTGTCGCGTCGGGTCTGTGTGTGAGTTAAACGCAGACGAGATGGTGTGCGTCGGTGGCAGTCGCGTTGTAGAATATTAAATTTCTCACGACGGCTTAAGGCTGTCCCCGACGATAAATCGGGTCGGGCTGCGTCGGCCGACGCTGTCTGAGTTGGCCTTAAGAAGACTTAGTTCTAGTGTGGTCCTTCTGGTGGTGATTGAGCAGTACACCGGCAGACAATCCCCTACTCTTTTCCGAATAGTGTACTGGGTGCATTCTTTAACGTGCACAGGACAAACGGCTTAAACGTCTCATCCAAAAGACGGTGCGCTATTGTAACTTGCATTTCAGACTTCCAGCTGAAACACAAGGAGAGGCAGCGATGGGAATTGAACCGGGGACCTAGAGATCTCCACTGTTCAGCGCACACACAGTGGATACCACCAGATTAGCCGGCTGAACTAAACTGCTCTCTCAAATGAAAACTTAATGTTTTGTTTGTTTTTCTTAATAGTGTTTTATTATTTCATCATCCTCGTCGGCGTCGGGGTTATTGTCATCATCATCACCATCATCATCATCACCACCACCACCACCACCACCACCATCATCATCATCATCATATTATTATTATTATCATTATTACCATCATCAACATCATCATCATCATCATCATCATCATCATCATCATCATCTTCTTCTTCTTCTTCTTGTTCTTCTTCTTCTTTTCAATTCATCAGCATCTTAAACATGTTTCGTCGTTGTTGTAAAGCCTGATTTCCATGATATCGCTACACTGTTGCCCTAGTGTTTTTTTTCCCACTTTACAACCGCTACACTGCGTAGTGTCTCCGACCAAGCCAATCAGTGTCGCCGAAAGGTGTCTGTGAGAGCGTGTAGCGATTTTGTGAAAACCAGACTCAAACTGAGGATATCTTTCCGAAATTCTTACTTACTAGAATCGGTTGCAATAGTGCTTAATGCCAACGTAGCTTCAACACTTGTAGAAGTTGGAGATTGAGTGGAGCCATTGATGGGTAACTTTTTAAAATTTACTTCTATAAACATAATAGGGAAATTATATTATTGTGATTATTATAGAATTATAAGATTATCATCATCATCAAGAAAAATAATAATAGTAGCCTGTACATGTACTGTAAAAGACAAAATAATCTTCAGTGGGTGTGGTGTGTCTATTCGACATAAGCGCTTATTAGAATGCGATACTTATTACAAATTATTGGACTGGTGAAGCTGCCATTGTTGTTGGCTGGTTGTTTTTGCATACGCAGATTTTATTCTGTCCAGCGCTTAAAAGCTGTATTCACATTGGATCCGAACCGGAATTCGGACCGCGTTTCCTATGCGCTGAACACCAGCGTCCCTCTTATTAACATAGGCCTACTGATCCGACTTTCTGATCGGTCGGTAGGCTTTCCAATCCGAAAATTCGGATTCCGATCTCCACCTTTAATTAAGAGAGTTTCAAGAGAGGAAATGTTAACTAGACAGGAGCGCGCCATGAATTTCCCGACGAAGGGTCCAAGTTCCCCGACAAGGGGTCCACACCC